TTGGTTAACAGGTTAATAGGTGAACAGTTGAGCCTCCTTAACCAAAGTGTGTGCATTATAACAGATTCACCGACTGGCTAGAGGGGAGAAACACTTGCCCATTCATCGTCACATTCAACTTGACCTGAAGTGACGATGAGGTGAGACACATGACGTTTCAAAAAAGGCTTTGCTTGATGCTATATTGTCAGCGACCCTCCTGTTCTGCTCCTCGAGAGAATAATGTGATTCACAAACTGTGCTTACGGTCACTACGGCGTTTTTACGAACCATGCGGGTATGGGATACATCCCAGTGTCACCGCCAACAACGCCGTGATATGAATGTATCGCGCCGCTTCCTTTGGACTGCACACATTCCAACGCATTGCAATATTCATACCACACACTTCGCCTCGGGTCTTATAAATCCCGGGCTAAACCAAACACGTCTCGCTGTTTTCGTCAGCGTCAGACGGGTTCCTGGGAACGGCCAGCTGCGGAGGCATACCAGAACCACGAACCTGGGCCAGACTTGGTATTTTCGGAAATCTTTTCCCAGAACAGAAAATTCCAGTTGCAATCTGTGCCGACGACGCTGCTGCTGCTGCTTCCACTTAACCATTTAATGCCGAACAGAAGTGAAGAAAGAGCAAAAGCATGAGAACAATTTGCGTACATTGACGCAAGCAGCTGGCCCACACTCACACTCATGAGCATACCGGTAGTACAACGTAATTGAAAAACTATGTGCCGTGTTTTCTAGATTATTTTTTTTACAGTAGATGATCCGTCATGACTGTTACAGTATATGCTATTGGTCACAGATTGTGTTATCCAAGATCTTGGCAGACATCTCTAGTTTTGTACACATCTCAGTTTAACTTTCTCTCTTCAGGAGCTGAAAGCCCGATGAGACGATAAAGACCTTCAACATCCTCCTAGTCTACTTTGTGATAACACAACTCTGTTCCTCTGTAATACTCAACAGTGCGTCTCGCTGTAACAAGAGATCCAGTATAACTCAAAGCAGCGCAGCCTTTTCCCGGCATGAGAAATAAGCAGTGAATTCAAATCATCCGCAGTGGAGCCAACTTTAATTCGCCCTGCGTGGGTTTGGAACCGGAGCCAGAGGACATGGGACATCTGGCCAGGCTACCCCCCCCCCCCCCCCCCTCTTGAGACAGCGGTAGGAAGTAGGCCAGGAGGATGTTTGAGGGGGAGGTTCCTCAAAGACAATACACCACGGAGAAACATCTCATGTCACACGCCAGACGACCGAGCGAGCGGTAGTGGAAACGGTTCGTCGGGACATCCGGAGGACGGTTTTAGGTTTATCTCCACGGCGGACGCGCTTCGTGACCCACGCGGCGCTCTCCTCCGCACCCGCCCAACCTGTCGACGTGGGATCGACGCACTTTGTGGTTCACGTTCTGCAGATTCACAAAGGCTCAATCAAAACAAACCAAACCGCAATGGCAAAATAACGCGCCAATGTATACAACCGTCGTTAATGTGAGTGTGTGTGGTGCTTAAAGGCCGCCTGCGCACCGTCGCCCGCAACAACCACCGATGAACACACAACTTGACATTTCTCGTTGCTGATGTGGAATCGCTGCTGGCAACCGCTCAGGTCCGCATTCTGAAGTGGGCTGTAGGCGTTTGTTGGGGGCGGTTGTGCGCAGGCAAGCACCTTGAGATCGGCGACTGTGTCTGCGTTTTTCTGGCATTGTTAGCAACAGGTCAAGCCGACTCGTGAAAGACAACCGCGGTGAGAACATGATGTTTGTTTTTCGCTCTGTGCTCGCTCACCCACCTCCCCTCTTCTGGGGCGATTCAGGGAGAAGGTCAGGCAACATTGACATCCGCGCCAAATTATTTTTTTATCCACTGCACACAATTTGGTAAATGAATCATTGCGTGTGTGTGTGTGGTGTGAATATCTAATATGAACAGAATTTAAGCGCTTCTCTGTCCATTTTTGTGTTCAAATGTGGCCAGAGTGAGTCACCGCTCAGCCTCCCCTGAGGAGCGGAGGGAGATGATGATGATGATGATGATGATGAACGACAAGGAGCCGGATAAACCGAGAGAGAGAGAGAGAGATGGGGAACGGTGTATAATTGAGAGAAAACGTTCCTCTGTGCTGGTGTAGATTACCTTCCTTGGCCGGGGAGTGTGAGAAGGGAGGGAGGAAGTGGCATTAACAACTGTTTTTCCTCTTGCCGCACCTGGAATGTGTGTGTGTGTGTGTGTGTGTGTGCGCGCGCATGTGTGTGTGCGGGTGAATGGGTTTGGCTTCGTGTGTGTATTTGTGCGGATTACGACAGAGTCTCCACCTTGTGTCAGATGCTTGAGCTCTCGGCCCGCAGCCAGGCTAGTAGTTTGGGCCTTACCGAGTCTTATCTCAAAGACCCCCCACACACCCTCCTCCACCACCACCACCACCCACAGACAAAACAGCTGACCCCGTCACTGTGGGGCTCTGCGGCCACCAGGCACCCTGAGAAAACACAACCTGTCCTATAGGCGTTGTAAAAACGCCACTGGGAAGACACGCATGCTTGTGTTACTCTGTGTGTGTCGATAGGGACGCCTGGGTGGCAGCCTCAATACCCCAAAGAGTGTGACAGGTATGTCCCAGTGTGTAGTATCGAGTGTGTGTGTGTGTGTGTGTCCATGTGTGTGTGTGTGTGTCCATGTGTGTGTGTGTGGTTGCGTGTCCCTCTGTGTGTGTTCCCTGTGTTTCACCCACCGGGGAGAGGATTAACATGCATTAAGCCCGGGCCAAAGCCCTTTCTCTCCCCTCCCCTGCGGTGTTAAGAGCCACCATGGGAGAACCACAGTTGCGCTGTAGCGAGCGGACGGCTACTTCTCCTGCGCTACAAAGTCACGTACTCGCCGTCAAACCCGCCCCCCCCCCCGCTGAGCCGATCCGGGGGTCCGCCTCAGGCCCCGGAGCCGTAGTGAGGACCCAATTAGGGCCGTGAAATTGGAAAGTCATGAAATGTGAATCACAGCGGGGTCAGCCGATGGCGTAATGGATACGTTCGCCTTGACACCCCATAGGCTCACCGTGCGTACCCCGACCCCAACCTCCTCGGGGGTAGGTGGTGGGGGACTATTGTGCTGAGTGTGTGTGTGTGTGTGGGGGGGGGGTGGGGCGTGCGGCGGTGACATGGGGAGGTGAAGAGGTTACGAGCCCCAGAGGGGGGCGGGCTGTAGGAATGTGTCTCGGAGCCAGGAGAGATACCGCCGCAGTAAATCCTTTTAGTGGCACTTCATAACCCCGCCAGCGCCCAGCGCCCCACTTGTCGCCCCAAATCCAGCCTCGCTTGATGATAATAGAGACACTAACGATGGCTTCGTTCAATTCCTGGAGTCTTTTTGTGTTTCTCCTCCTTGTGTTTTGTTTTGGTAAACACATTGGTACGTTTTGTGATTCCTGACCTGATTTACCGGATTACATATGCCCACCTCGTGAGAGATGACTCCTTGTTGTTATTTGTAGATAATTTATTTACAAAGACCAGTTTGTCTGTGGTATAAAGTATTTTGAACATCCCCATGACAACAATCAAAGTACAACCAAAGACTAGTTTGTCTTTTGTGTAAAGTACTCTCTCTCTCTCTCTCTCTCATGCCGGCCGTGTGACATGTGACCTTATACTTTATAGAACAGCTTTACAACCTTAACACAAGAATTTAAGTCAAGTTTCTTTGAGAACAATTTCATGGCTGTCGCTAATTGCCTTATGGTGATGTCAGCTGTGTAGCGCTGAACTGTGATGTTTGGCCCCTGAAGTGGTTCCTGTCAAAGGAATTTACATTTTAGATAATGGTTACATACAGGCCTGCCTTGTGGACATAACCTATTCCTAGTTATTTTTCTCATGTCAGATGTCGGTCGCGAGTCACTGTGGTGTGTTTTGTGGTGAAACTAATGCATCATTAGTTTCTCGTTGACGAGCCTCCTGTGTTTGAAGTTTCTTGTTTCACTTTCCCAGAGGTACCGCAATCTCGTGCTGAGCAGTGGATACAGAACATCCACAACTGATGGATTACCCCTACAATTAAACCCAGCAGCACTAGGTTGGCTTGTTTACGTCTGATTTTGATTGATGTGATTCATTTATTAAAGAAACACACACACACACACGTATTTCTGTCTTTCCCAGAAGCACACATAAACACACACACACACACACACACTCAGAGTCAACAGGTCACTGGTGCGAAGGCCATGAAGGCCTTAGGTTCAGAAGGTGGAGCAACCTTCTGACTTCCATCTCAACAACATGACGTATGTGTGTGTGTGTGTGTGTGTGTGTGTGGGGCGACATAAACACACACACTGGCATATGTCTTTGTGTGTGTGTTTATGTGTCTGTCTATGTATGTGTTTGTGCACGTAGGTCTGTATGTGTGTGTGTGTGTGTGTGTGTGTGTGTTTGTGTGTGTGCGTGCATGTGTGTGTGTGTTTGTGTCTGTCTGTATGAATATGTGTGTGTGTGTGCCCTCCCGTTTACCTCTGCTGTGCCCCGCTTCTCAGAAGTGTCTCTGCCTCTGTTGAACAATGAAACCGAGCCTCAGCAGTGAGCATCGCTCGGCGAAGGACGGATGGAGGTGTTTTCTGCACGCCGCCCGCTCCACTCACAAAAAGAAAAGAAAAAAAAGGAAAAATTGCAAAACGCACGCAGCCCGTGACCGAGACGATGGGAAAAACACATGTTGGCGTGTTTTGTCTGGTTAACGGCTTAGCGTGCGGAACGTAAGTCTAGTTTGATCACGAAACAGAGATAGGGACGGAGAGTACCTGGCTCATGTTGAGTGTGCAGCGATATCTGATGAGGTGTGAGGGGGGACCCCCGTGCACATATTGCGTGTCGAGTGTATGCTACAGATACCATAAAATATATACCAGACATGGTACAGGGCTAGTAGAAGTATGGCCCAGTATGTAGAGGGTGATCATCAGACCAGATCTGTTGGGGCGAATGCCATAGTACAGTATGTGGTCCTGGATAGCTCAACTGGTAGAGCGTTGTATTGACATCGCCAGGGATAGGGGTTCAATTCCCACTGGTTCCGCTTTTCTGGTGCCTTTCTGAATTGTAAAAAATTGTCTAAGTTGCTGATGTTATCTGGAAAATGTCTGGATATATAAGAATAGAATTAAGGGGAACTAGCCCCTATAACCACATAACTAGTCGCTGATTCTGCAGTGCGCAGACAAGATATGATTCAACGATTGAACCAATATCAGATGTATTCTGCTATCCCTAGTGCCCAACATCTTGTTAGGCAACAGTTCCCAGAGCGGTGCCTCTATAAGTGACAATCCCACAAGCCATTGTTGTTGTGATGTGGTGGCTGTGTGGGAGATAACGCCTGATGAGGGATCCAGCGAGAACAATGGAGAACAGTTGTGTCTACCAGATAGGGATCAGCAGGGAGGGCCTATCAGCTTAAGTGTAAGGTCCATTAATGGTGACAATGGTGCCAACTGTTTCCGTTTTGGCTTTTGGGCCTCGCGAGGTGGATGTGGCGAAGGAGGCATGTTGGGATTTCTTTCATTTCATTTGTTTCATTGTGATGACTTTACAAGGTAACACTCTTCTCCACATGGAAACCCACCAACATCCACACCTGGTGCTGCCATTACTGGGACAAACGTGTGGGTGGGAGAATAGAATTAACAGTCGAATGTGCAGACGAAGCTCACTTCCTGGTCATCTTATACTTCCTGACGGAGATTTTGAGTCATGCTGTGAATGACAATACCACAATATCGCAAAAATATTTGTTCACCTGACATACTAATCTATAGCTAACCAAATCACATCCAACATAATCATTTGCAATTTTGTTTTTGTTGAAACCTGGGTTCTTCAGAATCATTAGGATACATTGTTAATCATCGTGTGAAACTACCGTGCGTGACGAACAAGACCTTGTCCTACCCCCGGCGAGATATTATACAGAAAGAAAATGATACAGAAAGTAAAAGAGAAACACAAAACTGAAATGTGTGTGATAGGGGTCAGTGGTGGTGGTGGTGGGTGGCGTGGTTTTATACCCAGTCACAGAGTACACAGAGGTCATTTCTCCTCGCTTGGTGACCTCATTCCCAGATCCTGGAGCACTCTGGAGAGTGCATGGGAGAGGGACCCAGCCCTTTCTCGTCTTTGTGAGCATAAAAGGCAAGAAAAAAAAGGCTTTCCTACTCAGAGACAGAAGGACTTCCTTCTTCCTGCAACCCCACATCCTGCGACAAGCGAAGGCCCGAGACAAGAGCACAGGGACCGGCCCAGTCCACCAGTAGCTCATACTGATGGAGAAAACAGGCTGTAAATCATAGTTGGTATCCTGTGTGTGTGTGCGTGTGTGTGTTTGTGTGTGTGTCTCATTCTGTCTGTCTGTCTGTCTGTCTCTCTCTCTCTCGCTCTCGCTCTCTCTTTATCGCTCACCATTCCTGTCTGTGTGTCTTTCCTCACGCTCCCTTATAAATCATTCTCCCTTCGCCAATGCCCCCGATCATCATTTTAGCTTGGGGAGTCCTAAACCAGCCGCCCTAACAGCTGATCTGTAGCGGCCTGCAAGGTCAGATACTGAAGAAAGAGAAATAGTATTAGAGAGAGAGAGAGAGAGAGAGAGAGAGGGAGAGGGAGAGGGAGAGAGAGAGAGAGAGAGAGAGAGAGAGAGAGAGGGAGAGAGAGAGGGAGAGAGAGAGAGAGAGAGAGAGAGAGAGAGTGAGAGAGAGAGAGAGAGAGTGAGTGAGTGAGAGAAGAACAAAGGTATAGGAAGAATGGACGGGAGGAGGCTGCATACAGTATGTGTGTTCATGATCAAATGTGTGTGCGTGTTGATCTGTGTCCCCGTTGGGCTGTGGAGGAATGCTTTCTTTTACTTTGTCGAAACAATTGCTTCCAGAGAGCCAGCAATGTGCGTGCGTGTGGGCGCATGAACAGTGCATCGCATAGAGGCGACCCGGCCCAGAGGCTCTCTCTGGCCGACAGCGGGACAGCACCGGGCCTACAGCACTGGGCCTACAGCGCTAGACAGCGGCACACTGATCGAGAGCCTACGCGCCACATTGTTCTCTGTGTAGAGCTCAGCTACAGAAGCCAGACATCATTGCGAGGAAAAATTCAGTTGGCTGCACTCGGGTGGGGAGGCTCAAGTCTTGGAGAGGCTCAAGTCTTGGAGAGGCTCAAGTCTTGGAGAGGCTCAAGTCTTGGAGAGGCTCAAGGCTTGGACGCGTGCTTTTTGCTCGCACGTGTGTTTGTGTGGCAAGTCGGCGTGCTCGCTCGGTGTGTTTGTGTGCTCGCACGTGTGTTTGTGTGGAAAGTCGGAAAGTCCCCTCCAGATTCTATTAGGAGAGGCCTCCGTTGATTTGTTCGCAGCCTTTCTTCTCTGGCATGCCGAACACACACACACACACGCGCGCACAAGCACACGCACACACATGCACGCGGTGCCCGCACACACATGTACACACACACACACACACACGCACACACGCACGCACACACACAATAAGGAAGAGCCCGGTTATCAAGATGACCTATATATGCTGGATGGCTTGTTTGAAATCCCTGAATATTTTCAAAGGCCTGGCAAGGGTTGAAAGGTCAAGAGGTCATGGGTCATCATGGGTCATCATGGGTCATCGCATTGGTCATCGGCTACCTTTCTGTTTAAGTAACGGCAGAACAATTGCCTTTCTCTCGACTGGTAGCAGTCCTATTGAACACACCAGTCCTATTGAACACACCAGGCATCTTAATAACAAATAGTGAGCTGTCATCCCCACAACCGCACGCCAAAATGACTGACTTGTAAAGCTGTTTGTTGGAGCAGACGTTGAGAAATGTATCAGCTTTTTTGTGGGCAGCAGTCCAACCCTTATAGCGCTTCACTCTCCCTCTTTTTCTTCTCTCTCTCTCTCTCTCTCTCGTATGACTTTTGTGCTTCTCTCATCTCCCTCTCTGTGTTCATCGAGTGATGACAAATGACTACAACTCCCATGTAGCCGCTGCTGGATCCAGCTGAGACAGCATGTTTTACGGTGCTTTCAGCAACTTGGTTACCTGGCGTCCCCTGGAATCGAGTACCTGTGTTACGCGTCAAAGTACTACTTTAGGTGTGTCTAGGCTGTATCGTCTGGATGTGTTAGCTCAGTGTGACATATCTCTGTGGTTAGGCCTCTGATGTCAGGTTAACGCCAAAGCAGCCTTTTCGGCATATATGGTATTTTGGGTAATTTAGTTGAAAATGGAATTGATATCTTGTTCTCTCTGTCTCTCTCATGCAAGCATGCACATGCACACACACACACACGCACACATGCGCACACACACAGTGCACTTGCACTGTTTACTGAACCGGCTGACCAGGAGTCTTGTCTTCCAAGTATGGCAGCATGGCTGTGAGACAGCTCATTCCTCTGCTGTCTGCTCCCTGCTGGCTCTCAGTACCAGAGAAGGGCAGGAATTTCAGAATGACGTGCTTCCAGTCGACACATCCATGTTGGGTGGGAAGGGTGAATCATGGCCTAACACATTTCCCATTATCCGTTATCTTCCCCGCTCCTGAAACACCCCCCGTCTACCTCATGCGAAAGACATCCACAGAGGAGCGGCACGTGGTACCGGTCACCTTTCCGATTATCAAGGTTTCACCGTCCCTCTGGAAAAGTAAACATTTGGCATAAAGAACCACTGAGACATGGCACCCGGGATTTCCCGTACAAATACAACGCCTAGAGTTTACTGTAAATATAAGTAATTGTAAGTTATTACTTAATACACAATACTAATTAATTATCAATTATAAACAAAGTATAAAAAAATACGTCATATAATAACTAACATACTTTTACCCAATATAGTCTAAGTGTTATCAAGCAGCGCAGAGAGCAGGGAAGCCTCAAAGCCACATATGGACTTCGTAGACCGGGTCAGTCTAGAGTCGTGCGTCTGGTTTAAGGTGTAAAACTACCCTAATTTTCCCCATATGGAAACATTAAAGTGTAATGTAATACAACGGGGCAGGTATTAGTGGAATTGCTGCCAAAGGTTAAACACATAAGGGGCTGGCCGCAGTGGGCTAGCCACAACAGTGCTAATCTCAATGGAAATGAATAGAGGGTGTTTGGCTAGCTATCTAGCAGCGAGTCTAATCACAATCCGGAAACATTCAGAATCTGTATTGGACCTTTCCTGGATACATTCGTCATTGAAAATGAGTGCGCACGTGTGTTCTAGCGCTCGTTGGAGAACCCAGATGTGGACGTGCTGCGTTTTAACATTATTGCCTCAATATTTACCAAACGGATTCGGCTCATTGGTGGTCATTTAAACCAATGAGGAGAGCAATCTAGAAATCTTTACCAATCCGTCAGAAACGTACCCAGAAACAACACAGGACCGAGTGGAAACAAAAACAGTGTTACACCAGATTATGAGCCATCCCACGTTGTGAGTTCCCCTGATTGGGTGAGTCAGTGTTCAGCACATGTAATTAACTCAAAACAGATTGACGAGGATGGTTTCGTAAGAGCAACCAAAACAGACGACAGCTTATTTTGGAAGGAAAAACATTCGGCCAAAATTGAGAGCTGTTAGTCAGCGAAATTGGTTCAAAATGAAAGCTTGATGAGGGAAATGACAATTAGGGGAATTGCAAGCCTCAACCACTACTGTGATTGAACTAGTTGTGAAATCGTAGAAATTCCCGGGATAAGCACGCACAAATCAGAGTTTTTAAACTGAATGTGGGGTAGAATAGTAGAGTGGTTATCTTGTCTGTGTTTTCCTCCGGTCGAAATACATATCAATGTGGAAGGAAGACCCCTCTCTGCTCTGCAGAGCCAGGGAGATAAAGACCGAAAGAGAATGTCAAACTCAATGACTCGACGAATGTGTCCCCGCAGGAGGAAGACAAATCCCACTGACAATAACCATAAATAAAAACAAAGTATTTCCTGAGGAGAGTTTTATGATGAGGGCCGCTAGTGTACTGGCGTCTTTGTTTTTGGGTTAAACGCACTAAATCAGAGGCCTGTTTATGTTACATGGAGTAACGAT